TACGTCTCTAATGTCGCTGGCATTTTAAATTAACTGACTATGACCTGTTGCAAAATTCTGTATTTATCAATTTCCAGGAGGTACAAACTGGAATTTTTTTTCTAATTTATAAAAAGCAAAAGCAATTGGTTAAAAAATAGTCTTTTTTTACCTGATGATCTGTTTTCTAAGTCTACTGTTTTGATATATATATATATATATATATATATATAGTATAACGATATATAAAATTTTATATATCAAGAGTAGTTTTAGAGAAAAGATGTATGACAAATTGAAATAGTTTTCGTGCGATGCGTTTCGTGAGTCTGGTGAAATCCTAAGGGACGAAACGCGTCCACTTTGTCATACATCTTTCATCCATATATATATATATATATATATATACAACAGATCCTAGCAAAAAGATTAGGTTAATCATATACTGCACTAAATCTAGTAGATCCAACTTAATTGTTCGCAATGATTCTTCCTCGCTCCTCGTTAGTGATTTGCAAAAAACCAACATAGTTTACAAATTCAAGTGCCCTTTGGGAGATTGTATCTCCAATGGATTAGATAATATTTATGTTTGTCACACCACAAACTCGCTTTCATGATGCTTGACTCTACATTTGAATGATAACTCTAACATTTTTAGGCATTTAAAACAACATGCCTGGCCTCATACACAATTCCGGAAAATCCTTGTTGAAAACACAACTATACTTAAACATGAAAACAATAAACAAAAACTAAAAATTCTTGAAGCTATATACATAAAACTGTTGAAACCTAACCTGAACAAAATAAACTACGAAATCTTCACAAACATTCTTAAATGCCTACAATTGATAACAGAAGCCATTGGTTTATACCAACGGCTTCCCAAACTTAATAGTTCTCGTTTTCACTCTCGCGTGGTTATGTGTGACGTCACGAGCTGCGACGCGATTTTCGCTTTCGCGTTACGTATACACGAGTTAGTCACTGCTTTGAAATTTGTCACGCAACAGAAACAGACTATCATTATCGTTCCGTGTATTGGTTGATATATTGAAAAGTAATTGTCATCTTTGATAATGGCTTATATAATCCGAAAGCTTAGATAGGATTTAAACATGTATCGATATAGTGATTTCCTTTCGTCCTTCAATGATAATGTTATTAAGCTTATCAGACAATATGAAAGGAACTTACTTAAAATAAATAGACAAAACTTGTCTATATTATTTAATGAAACATACATTATATATATATATATATATATATATATATATATATATATATGGTGTGACGGATGAATTGTCTAAATTACGTAAAAAATGAAAATAACACTGATATCTCATTTTAACTGATATATTTACCAAAATTACACAAAAATATCCTAAAATACTAAAGAGTAAATATATTCAATAAAATCGCCATTAACTTCAACCACGGCCTCCAGACGACTTTGGAATCAAAGGGTCTCTCTGCAGCCATCCTCTTGACCCAGGGCAGTACTACCTCCTCAAGGCACTTGATGTAGGCCTCTGTGTTGAGTCTGAGACCCTCACCAACAAATTTTGGATTTCTTTTCTTAAGTGAATGTCCAAGAAATTTCACAGAAAATATGTGTATTCTACGTTCATTAATCGAACCTGTATCATTCATGGAACCGTCATATAGCCTGACGTGCTATACCATTTAACCACAGAGGAAGCGTCTGGTTGGCAAAGTCGAATTAGTGCTTCTAAAATTTTATCTACAAAAATAACGTATAAACAATAAATATATTAAAATAATTGTCGGACTTTTATATTATATGATGTCATTTGTTTACGTTAAGATACGCTTCGAGCAAATATGAGCGTCCGAGAGAAATCATGGGAAATTTGTACTTTAAAAGCAATAATTCGACTTTTCTAACCAGATTCTTTCTTTCTAGCTAAATGGTATAGCACGTCAGGCTATATGAAGGTTCCGCGTAGGATACAGGTTCGATTCCTGTTGCAGGACACATATATTCTTTGAAATTTCTCGGACATTCAGGTCGGTAAATGTTGTTAATACTGTTTATTATAAACACAGCATTTACTTAAATATTTGTCTCTATAAAAATAACGTATAAACAATATTATATATATATATATATATATATATATATATATATATATATATATATATATATATATATTATAATAATACAAGTTAATAACATCTTTCAAAATACGTAAAAATTACTAGAATTTAGAATATTTCAAGGCAAGTAGAATTTTTGTCAAGAAAGTGCTCAATATATAACTAGAGCGACAATCAGTCAGTTAAGTGCCATACGCGACACACATTTAGACGGCTATATCTCTCCACCACTTCCTCACCTAAATCACTGTTGACTGTCTCAGTTAAGTGCCATCACGTGATACACATTTGAGCGATCATGTCTCTTTCGAGTCATGACTGACTAGGCATAAGGTATTCCTGCAGTAGGCTGCCGTTTCTTTCTGCGGTAGGCTGGTTGACAACCAAGGCTATAGGATCTAGTCTGTCCTGCTATTCAAACCATAGCTTTCCCAAGAGTATTTGCGCGTAAATAAAGGTAACTGAAATTCGAACTCTTCGAACCATTATCCATTACAACACACCGCGCGTCTATCCGACAATTAATAATCTTTCAAGTGATTTGTTTGAATATTTAATTGACAGTGTGTGTGCACGCACGTGTGTGTGTGTGGCTTTATGCCATGATTCTGAAATATTTATACATTCACGACTCTAATTATTCAACGTTGAATCTTACTACTTAACTTCTTCTTTTATATGCCGTGTCCCTTCAGGACGTAGGCGATCATGGCTCTCCACTTCCTCCTATCCCTTGTAGCTCTCAATAAGTGTTGTCCTTTTGCTACTTCTCCCAGACCCTGTTCTAACATCCCCTTGCATAAGTCCGCTAGGTATGTCTCATGTTGCTTTCTTTTGTCCCTCTTTCCCTCTACTCGCCATGTGAGTATCAGATTCTCCAATCCCTACTTTCTCATTAAGTGTCTCAGAAATTTCATCTGCCTCTTCCTGATGTTAAACATAAGCTACCTCCTTGTTTGCATCCTCTCCCAAGCCTCATAGTTACTCAAACGCTCGGTTCATGATATCCTCAGCATCCGTCTGTAGAACCATACCTCCGTTGTTTCGAGTCCCTTTAAGGAGACCGTCCTACATTCTCTGCCGTAAAGGAGGACAGATATCATGTAGCAGCTCAGTACTCTTTTCTTCGTTACCAACGAAACCCTCCTGTCTCGTAATACTCTGCTTAGCTTTCGGAATGAGTCTTTGACCATCCCAATACATCTTCGGGTATCAGCATTGCACTTACCGTCCTTTGTCAGAACACTTCCCAGATATTGAAATTTCCGCACCTCCTTAATTTTTGTGCCCCCCGACCTGTAAATCGCATTTCGGGATCATCTTTTTTTTACTGATGACCATGCATTCTGTCTTCTTGTAGTTTATGCTTAGTCCCTTCTTCTCGCTCTGCTACCATCGGTAGGAGATTTTGTAGTTTCCTTTCCGTGTCTGCTAGTGTGTCACCTGCGTATCTTATGCTGTTAAGATCGTAAAGTAGTTAATAAATAAGCGATTATCACAGCGATAGATTTCAGGATAAATTAGAAAATAATCTGTACTATCAAACTACACATTTAGAGATTCATGATAAAATAGAAAGAAAAATCAGAAATGTTAATGGTCCTGACCTGGCATCTCGGCTTCAGTCACTTTTTCCATTAACATAACGTAGCTTCCCTGTACCTTTTCTATAAATATTTCCAATTGTTCTGATGAGCTTTCCACTTTTGTAACTAAATTAGATGACTTACTAATGGCGCTAGGGTCTCATCAATTCTCAATTGAAATGGCGAGATGCAACCGTAAGTTCTTTGCTAAGAGTTTCTTTTTTCGCACTTCTCACTTGTGGAACTCTCTTCCGATTTCTTGCTTTCTAGTCAACTTCGATCTTCAAAAAATTAAATGCCATGTCAATCATTATCATATGCCTTCTTTTATTGTTTTCTCTTTTTGTCATATTCTCTCATACTCCGTAATACGTTGCGTCTTAGTGAGTTTATTGCCTTGCTTGGGGTGAAAATAATTAAAGACAAAACGCTTAGTTTATTCTGACATAAAGCCACATATGTAGAATACTCATTAAGAGTTGAACTCATTAAACATTAGTTTTAAAGATCTGTGAAGCTAAACCAGCTTATCAGGCTGTATAGATTAAGTCTTTTCTTAGTCACTGTTTAAGGTTATTCAACGCCATTATTTAATGTCAAACTACACAAAGAGAAAAAGATAGATAGATAGATAGATAGATAGATATGAACAGGTTTAGATAGATAGATAGATAGATAGATATGAACAGGTTTAGATAGATAGATAGATAGATAGATAGATAGATAGATAGATAGATAGATAGATATGAACAGGTTTAGATAGATAGATAGATAGATAGATATGAACAGGTTTAGATAGATAGATAGATAGATAGATATGAACAGGTTTAGATAGATAGATAGATAGATAGATAGATAGATAGATATGAACAGGTTTAGATAGATAGATAGATAGATAGATATGAACAGGTTTAGATAGATAGATAGATAGATAGATATGAACAGGTTTAGATAGATAGATAGATAGATATGAACAGGTTTAGATAGATAGATAGATAGATATGAACAGGTTTAGATAGATAGATAGATAGATAGATATGAACAGGTTTAGATAGATAGATAGATAGATAGATAGATATGAACAGGTTTAGATAGATAGATAGATAGATATGAACAGGTTTAGATAGATAGATAGATATGAACAGGTTTAGATAGATATGAACAGGTTTAGATAGATATGAACAGGTTTAGATAGATATGAACAGGTTTAGATAGATAGATAGATAGATAGATATGAACAGGTTTAGATAGATAGATAGATAGATAGATAGATATGAACAGGTTTAGATAGATAGATAGATATGAACAGGTTTAGATAGATAGATAGATAGATAGATAGATAGGAACAGGTTTAGATAGATAGATAGATATGAACAGGTTTAGATAGATAGATATGAACATGTTTAGATAGATAGATAGATAGATAGATAGATAGATATATAGATAGATAATGAACAGGTTTAGATAGATAGAAGCTTCGTTTACCACCCACTTAGTTTATGATTTACTTTTTATATACTTTGACCTTGGAGATAATTAAATATTTGAGGTTTGATCAAATTAATTCGATTTTTGGGTGTGGGATGGAGGTGAGGGACAGTCGAACATTTATTTTAAATAAAAATTAAAACTGTTTGCAATAATTTAAATATCTTTGAAGTTTTAATTTCTGTTTTAATTGCAAGAAAATAACCAAGATGTCGTTGTGAAAAGAGAAAAAAAAAAGAACGTTTCACGTAATTAAAGCGGAGTTGGCTTTTTTTAAAACCCATTCCGCCATAATTGATTTTGTCTGTCAACTGAAAAATTAAACAATTTCAGTCTTCCACAAAGATTTTATGGAAAAATTGTTAATTTACGAACGGGTGCTGAAAAGTTCTCGGTCTGACCCACTTCCGAAAATCTAAGTAAATGGCCAAACATTAGAATATCTTTTGGAAGACCATCGTGATTGAGCCGAGCACTTTTCAGCACTCTCTCGTAATGAACACGATTTAAAACTACATTATTTGGCTGAACCAAAAATTCGTAGAGTTTTTTTAAAAGATGGCGTTTGAACACGTGATTTCATTTCACACGTGATTGAAATTTATGACATACATACATATTGTGAAAAGTGAGATTTCAAAGCGTCTTTCTAGTCGATTTGTTTGTGGATTATGAATTTTAGATGTTTTTACGTTAAATGCACCTCACTTTTTCTCTAGCAGAGAGTGTTGTTCGTAAGTGGTTTGTTAGGTTTAAAAATGGAAATTCTGATCTGAAAGCCTGAGAACGTTTCGGCAGCTCTTTATTGGTTGATGATGACCAAACTGAAAGGCTGATTAAAAAGAATCCAAGTCATACGGCAAAGGACATTGCAGAGATACTGTGTATAACTTAAATATGCGTTGTAAGACATTTGAAAATACGTGAAACGCTACGATGCTTGGGTGGCTCATGACAAAGATTTAATGGGCCGCCTTTCGTATATGATTCTCTGCTGAAGTGCAATAAAGACGACTGTTATTTTTTTTTAAAATAAAACGATCAAAGGCAATGAAAAATGTGTCGTAAAAAAGGTGATGGGAAAACGAAATGAGCAAAAGCCGACGGTTATGCTGTGTGTCTGGTCGTAAAGGAAGGGAATTATGTATCTGTCTATATTTCTGAGATGAGGTATTATATACACTATTTACATTATTCGGACTATTGTTCTCATCTTTGTCGCCATATTTATTACATTTCAACCTTTCAGTATCTGTCTATATTTCTGAGATGAGGTATTATGTACAATTATGTACACTATTTACATTATTCGGACTATTGTCCTCATCTTTGTCGCCATATTTATAATATAATGATAACAGCAAAAAATTTGCAATATGAACACTGGTAAAAAATGATTGCTGAAGACATTAGGTTTATAATACCCAGAAATTCATACACGGGTTTTCTCAAGGACACATGGCATAGTGGATAATTAGTTAATCCAGTGACAGGATCCAAAGAGTGTGAGTTCACTACCTGGTTAAGACGGCGGAGAACTTGGAGAGAGGAATTAACAGGAGATAACTGATAATTGACATCCATTAGACATGGCTAGAACAGTCTACCCCAGTGAGCGAAATAAAGGGTTCAGTTCGAAGAACGGTCAAAACGTTGTAATAAATATAGCGACAAAGATGAGGACAATCGTCCAAATAATGTAAATAGTGAAGGGAATTATGTGTTACAAGCTCCTCCCGAAAAATCAGACGTCGGATTCCTACGAGCCGTATTCCCAGTTGAACTGATTCTAAGGATACAAAGGGCGATTATCTCCCCTTTAAATAAGAGAACTCCACGAAGGTCACGTAACAGTCGATGAGTAGACGTCAGTTTGTATGGAGTGACGAACCCAAATTGCTATGTAGACAGGATAATGAAGACATCACAACTCCGCAACATTATAAGAATCCACACAGTCCTACCAAGAACATAGAGGACGTTTCCCCTTCCGAAAATATTACAGCACCCTTTCGATTTTCATGTTACTGTATTCATATATGCTATAATTGTCCCGTGTGGGACACGTAGATACATATTTGTGTATGGTATCTTGTATGATAGTGGTATAAAATCTATTTGAGAATAATACATGTGTGTCATTCTTTTCTTTCAGCTATTCAGGCCCTTCCTTCTGTTTTATTAAGGTGTTAATATAGCACGGATATACTAATGTTTATAATGGGACGAGTATAAATATTTTCTCTTTCCAAGCAACCCTTATGATTAAAGTCAGTATCGATGAAAAGCACCGAGAACTGGTCAATCAGAATAAGGCCGTTTGCCATAAGGACAACGCCAGACATCACACTTAGTTGCAGACCCCACCAAAATTGGCACAGCCTAACTAGAGTACTCTACTACACTCACCTTAGTCTCATGACCTTGTACTTTCGAATTATCACTTATTTTGAGCCACAGAAAATTCTTTTCATGGAAAGAACTTTAATTCTCTGGTCTAAATTCTGGGAGAATGGAATCTTGAAGCGGCCTCAAAGCTACTGAAAGATAAAACAACAAAAACATGGCACATATAAAGTTGAATAAATCTACGATGCATATATTTATTGTCCTGAAATTCACTTTAAAAAACGCCACCAATACTTTTTATTTTGAATATAGTGTAAAATATATTTGTTAAAACTGGTGTGTGTGTGTGTGTGTGCGCGCGTAAAGGTTGGGTTGGGGGTTGCTAACTCAGAAACCAAGCCCAGTAACATGCTAAAAATTTACCTACCGGCTCCTAGCCCGGCTCCGAAAATCACAAAAAATAGAAACCTTGTTTTTTCTTCGTGCCTACAAGCTGACCAACACTTACGGTAAAACCTGACAGTCAAAGCAAAATATGTTTAAAATTTTTTTCAAAAGTTGACTAATAATCAGAATTGAAATAAAATTTTCGGTATTACATCATTTATGAATAAGTTTTGTATGTGAAAAGGTTATTTTTAAAGCTAAACTCGAGGAACATTCTTATTCGCCGCCCAAGCCTATTATTTAAGAGAGAACCTGTTTAGTTTTGAAATCTTTTTGCAAATCAAGACTTAAACGCAAAAGTAAGTGATTAAATCATTTTACGAATGAATTATTTATGGAGAAAAAAAAAAAAGGAAAAGAAAATTAAACAAAAATGATTTAAATGATCGCTTAATTTTTATGTTATACCCATAATTCTCATGAAACATTTAATGGCACACAATGATGTCTTATTTTCAAATAATTCTAGAATGAAGGAAACGACTGACAAAGGGCAATAGAATGTAAAGAAGTTCATAAAAAAGTAGTAATTTTATCTGGTCGTTCCTTCCATAGTTAGTAAATATTTATTTCATTAGTACAATAAAAATATTAATTATCTTGTAAGAACGAAAAATCGGTAAGTCAAGTTCGAATTCTGGTCGAGATTATATTCACTTTCGATCAATTAACATTCACCCGTCATCTAAGAGCAGAATTTGGACTCTCTAGCCGTTGTCATCAATCCGTAGAGGCGGACAACTTGGAATTTAAAACCGTATCCCTCTTACCGTGTGGTACAGAATTTAACTATAACTAAGGTCAGATCAGATTAATTGCAGTATAAATCATAGGTTGTTTCTGTGGCTGTTGAAGAAACACAAACGGGCCTTAGCAGATGCGGGGTGGGGGGAGCAGGAGGCATAACTTGGAAAGGAATAGCCATGCTGAGGACTGAGAATCACAGTTTTACAGTGTGTACCTTCAAGACGAAACGGTTCTGATGACGATTGTAAAAAAACAATAAAACTTCCCATTACAGTTTCTTAAACTTTATATTTCTCGATTATTCACGAAGGATAAACAATTTTAAAACAGTTGAAATCATTTAATAATTTAAATAAATAAAAATAAATCTTGTAATATATTTTTTGAATGGATTTTTTCTTCCGCAACCAGTTTATGGTATATATTATTTAAAATAAATCAATTAAAAATTTGTAAATTTTGTCGGAAATGTTTTTAGAAATAATCTTTATAAAACTTGCCCTCTTTCGTTGTTACAGCCACAATATGTTGGTGTTATACCGTCTGGAATAAGGCCAAAGAATACAACGATCAAAACATTGTAAATATAACAAAGACAAAACACGCTGGTTCGAATAGCAAAAGGCTTATAATCAAAATTTGCAGACAAAACAAAACTAAATTCACTGTCGTTTCTATTTTCTGATTAAGTGCATAATTTGTACATTTTATTTACGCGTAACATAGGAGTTTCTTTTTTCAATGTTGCGAAATTTAATATCAAATGTCAGCTGATTTAATTTCTCTAGGGATTTAGCTATATGGAAATGTCCATAGGTTTGGTTTCAAATTTTTGAGATTTCATAAAATTAAATAATGGCATTATAGTAATATTGAAAATGTAATAATAGCTCGTGTCTACAAAATTCAGAGGAATGTCAGAAAATTACGTCAAAATGACTGGCGCCAGGAAAAAGCTGCCAAAAGTAAAACATTGTAGTTACGTGACAATTACAACAGAACAATCCTTTCTGTGCAAAAAGGCTCCAGTAAAAAAAAAAAAAAAAAAAAACGCCCCGAAAGAACACGTCACGTGATTGAATACTAACCTTTTTCAACCAATCAGGGGTCAATCTGCCGGATTCCAGAACTTCTTTGATAGCATTTTCTTTCTCCACATACAAAAGAGCGACTTGACCCATCTCATTGCAGATTCTCACAAGCTCGCCAAACTTTTTTTTTTATGTCACATTAGTCATGTTCAGTATGGTCAAGCTATTCCAGCATCGATTACATACAATGATTTTATTGTGCGTACACACTTACAAAAATTATCTTGCTAAAAAAAAAAAAAATAATAGAAAAATTCAGTACTGTCGACTTTTTTTTCTCATACAAATAAGGCTTCCTTCATAGATTTAACAAACATTAATATTCCAATTATTTTGTTTCAAAATATTTTTCCAGTGAACTTATATGATTACTGATATCGCTAATCTTAGATGTAGGCTTTGATATAGAATTAGATACTATTGATTAAATGTGAATAAATCTATACGTACTTTGCATAGTGTGTATCTTGCCAGCGGTAAAAGCTTCATAAACATACAGGATCATCTATTCAAAATTTTATATTATCAATACTGTGTATTCAACCTGTCCATATAGATATTTTTGGTCCACATCCTTCAATCGGTAAGGAGTCAGATATTTAATCCGGTAGAAAAATATACGTTGGATTGAAGCTGAATCATTAGCCAAAATGACTGCACAATCAGTAGTTGAACTTTACAAAAGCTTCAATTATTGATTGTGATTTACAAATTCTGATTTAAATATTGATTATGGATTATAAGGTTTAGAGTCTCTATATCGTGACGGGAAGCCAATTTGAAAGCTAGTTGTTAGTTTTCATAAAATGAGAACAATTTCTACCAATTATATCTTGATACTCAGCATTATTAATTTTATTCCTCGGTATATGCAATACAATTAATGAATCAAGTTTCTTATCTTTATGTTGTAACTAGTTCATCAGTGTTAATTCTCCAACTGCTGATCAGGCCATCTGATACAATGACACGTAATTATTTAAAAGACAACTTAAGAATTTGTGTAAAACCATATAGCAATTTAATCCATGTCTTTTCTGTAGGAAATTCTTGTACTTTGAACCTTACGTTTCAAGAGAACTTATACCTTGTGATAAAGTATAACGAAGAGTAAATCTACACTTAAAATGCTTCTTACCACAACCTTTTGAACTTTTCCCGCCATTCTGGAATAAAATCACCGATGTTGGGTTGAAAAAATATTATTTACACTTCTTGTTCATAAATATTTTGTAAGACGCACCCCTGGATATGCAGAAACGACTTCAACGCATTTGCGGCACAGCCTATGAAAAAAAGGGGTAAATATGTTGTCTTTACTCACACATACGCGCTTGTGAGGCCCCACAATAAACCGATTTCCATTTGTCCTTGTGAAATGGCATATATGCTATCGTTAGATACATGTTTATGAACTTACCTGTTCTCATTACCAAGTAGCTTGTATTCAAACAAAAGCTTTTCGTTAGACAATTAGAAGATTGCGCAATGCCAACAGACATGTTTCGTCATGAGATTTAGCATTTTAAACCTGAAAATTCAATACTCTAACGTATAAAGTGAATTCTCAATAGACCAGACTGATTTTATCAGCTGTTAAAAAATTAATGAAACCTCTAATCGTAAATGGCTGCATAAGAACTTGAGAGATTTGTGATTGTGTTGAAGTAATTTCTGGAAACTTATCAAAATATCGAAAGAAGTTAAGTCTAAGTAAATGTGTAGTAGTTGATATGTAATGCCTTGATAAATGTTTGAGAGTTCGATTCTAAGTGAAGGCTCCACAAAAAGTGCAGCTTTGTACATTTGAGTTAATGTTCTGGAATAAGTTTTGAATCGAATGAATGAAAATTCAGAATTAGAAACAAACTGCAGGAATTTAAAAAAAAATAATAGAACACTGAATCTCCCACAGAGATTTTCGTGTTACCACTCCCACTTATGCAGCAAAGTCTGCTTTTCCCAAAGCAATTCATAATTAAACAGCTTTATTTCATAATCGTAGGGTTTGATGGTCGCAATTACCGTTAAGAACCCGCAGAGTATTATCAGCATATTGATACTTTAACTAGGTACCTATTGTAAAGTAAATTTACAAAATAGAAAAGATTTATGACTAGGATTTCTCTTCTCGCTGAAGGTAGTTGACGAGAATTTAGTGATTCACTTGAGACTTGTCGATAAGTTCAGAAACTGAAAAAAAAATGATACAAACTAGGTTAAAGCTTCTACCCCTCTCTCATATATATATATATATATATATATATATATATATACACACACACACACACACACACACAGATCGACTGCCTTCGAGATATGCATAAACATATGGACATACAGATTGAGATAAAGAGACGTGGGAAAACGATAAACTTTTATATATCAAGAACAATTTTAGGAAAATCATAAAGTTGAATTTTTTTTTTTCGTGTGATGCGTTTCAGTCATTAGGACTTCATTCGACTCAAGTGATGTTTACATTGGTATAATTTCACACGAAGGACAAAGAGGCTCTGAAATGTTGAAATTATACAATCTAGCCGGTTTTATTTATTTTTCCTACTTTGTCATTGATTTTCTTAAAATAAAGCTATACATATGTTATGATCTTACTCTCTTCCGGTGTTATATCCATTCAAAACATAGGCGATTACGGTTCTTCACAGCTTCTTTTCTTTAACATTTGTAACCTGTTCATTGTTATGATTGTTCTTATAATAGTGGAATGGTTTCCGGTTGCTTTACTAGTTTTGAATTCCGAATTATCTTTCTTCTCGACAATCAATTCTAGAGAGATCAGCCTGTCCTATTTTACCCATAAAGCATTAGTTTAGAGTTAATACAAACTGCTTCAGTCTGAATTTGAACGCTATTTGCTGATTCTATTTGTTTTCGTACGTCTCGAACTTATGATTGATATTCAGATCAATATCAAAATCAGTTTGGGCACTTCGCCGTGGCATTGCAAGCTATTCTTGCAGACCATTACTGTTGTACTCGGCTCGATGCACATTGTGTGCCCCTACACTTGTGGCTTTATGCCAGATGAAAGTAAGCTTAGTCAATATCGATACACAGATTCGAGCGAATGAGGCTGACAACTACTTGTGCGTAGATAGTGTAAGAATGTAGAGAAGAAAGAAAGAATGTATTTGGGAAAAGGTAGTTGTGCATGTTTGAAACAAAGGTAAATTTGTTGATTGAGACGAGGAATTCTAACTGAGTTTTCCCATCTAGAGAGGAAAGCCTTTAAGCAATATGTCAAGAAATGGAGCTCAGTGTAAGTGTTTTACAGAGAGTCGTCCCGGATGAGAAAGCGGACGAGTTGTGCTAATGAATAAAATCACAGAAATCATTAATGGACGAAAAGGAATGCAATTCTCCTTCAGACCATCGCTGATGAAATCAGCAAGACGGGAAGAGTATCCTGCAGGCGGACGTTGCTTCGTCGGAGCTAAAAGCAAAAGCTGAAAGTTGTTGCATTAACACATTGTCATTGCATGTCAATCACCATAGCAACAAATGAAGGTAAAGAAAAAAAAGGGGGTAAACAGTTTTTAACAAATTCCCTCCTATTTCCAATCCCCCACCCCGATTACGTACTAGTGACTCTCTGTGCTTGTTGCAATAATGCATTCTAGTGTCGTGCATTTGGAAACAGCATGCAGTCAGGTTAGATGAACCGAGATTGACTGCAAAAAAAATTAACTCATTAGCGATGAGTTAAAGTATTGGTTGGCGGGTAACAGCATACGTTCCAGCAAGACACCAAAGTGGCAGTAGCAGCAATGGGTTTCTTTGGACGTAAGAGGTTGTTTTTTGACATTGTACGTCAAGGATTTTCAAGTTGACAAAGTCATGTCAACTGGCAATGCGACTGACCGTAATTATTTACAATAAAACTTGAGGCAGAAGACCACAAAGACCTTAAGTCATATCTAACCGAATATCAGAATTTTGTTTTTTTAAATTATTTCTTATTTAAACCGAGAACTTTTTCACTCCTTCGTAAATATAATTTTTTTTTGGTTTTTCATGCTGCAAAACATGAAATATTTATGATAGTGTATTTATTATGAGAGTTTCTTTAATTTCGGTTAATGCCCGAGAAAGGCGATTGATGATTTGTGAATACGAAAGTCTTTCAGTAGTGAATATTCAAATGGCCAACAAGAGAATTTTAATTTCTTACCAGTTCTTTACAATTTGTATTATTTCAGAGGGTTGATCCTTTTGGTATCGGAGCCTCACAACGGAAATAAAGTTTACAGAGTTAATCTCATTCTAGATAATGAAGATGCAAGTAAACAGGAGACATTTTAGGACAATGTTTTTACATTAATCATATTGTAAACACTTCTTAATAGTTTGAAAATAGCTGTAAATGTTGCAATGTTATAAATATGATGTTCCTGGATTTTATCAGTCATTCAGATTGCACAATAATCATATATTTTATGAAACAGTTTGTAATTCAAATCTTTCCTTCTCTTAGACTGGTTACAAAACCAGGAACAGAGAGCCCATTCTACCCTACTATTTCACCCTTAGTAACTGGGAGAGAACATGGATTCATGCCTTTCTCAAGGGCATTAGTGCAAAATGAATTTGAACTTAATTTACTAATTCCATTTCTATATTGCTTCAAATAGAAAAAGAGAAGAAAATTGTTTTACAAATTCTTGCTTAAATCAAAGGGGATGATATTATGGTTTTCAGAAAATTATTAAATTGCAATTTATCAATCATAATTCTTATGTACAGAATTATTTGAAACAGTTAAACTACAGAAAAAATCTTCTGCAACAGAAGAGAAAAACTTAAAAATATTTACTAAAGCTATTCTTTTGCACTGTAGACATATAAAATTTATTTACATAATTTGTGGTAAATCATTGGAAATGTATTTTTAATGAAATTTACTTTTTATGATAATCTTTAAAATATTTATCATGTAATGGAAAGACTTGTATTCTTTTCTTTGGTTGCTAATTAAAAAAAAGCTGCAATGAAGAAAAAAAAAGGAAGGAAAAATGAGTCAAGTCAAGATTATATAGAAATGTTCTCAAATTGAAGATGTTTATTTGTATTGTTTTCCAGTTTAAGTGGGGAAAGAGAAGGGGAAATGGTGGCGGGGTGGGGAGGTACAGCAATATAAATTGAAACAGTCTTCTATTCTTTTCTCCCAGTGGATAGACTTAATGCTTGTTTTATTTGTTTTGCTTGTTTGTTTGTTTTGTTTTTTTTTTGTTTTTTTTGACAGATTTTAAAAGAAAAAATATGAAAAAAAATAAATAAGAAAAATAAAAGAAAGACAAAATAAATCATTTGAGAATTTTTCAAGCGATTTAAAATGTGAAAGTAAATATTTCTTTTAAAATGCTACAAAATAAAAAAGGTGAAAAAGAAAGATAACAAAGATCCTCCTTTATAAAAGAAAAGTGATTTTTACCTGGTCCCTGTCTCCATTGTTCTCCACTGCTATAAAAATGCTTTTATTTTGAAACTTTTGACAACACAGGTCCTTTCAAAGTGGGAGAAAATAAATGTGACAAATACCAGAGGGAAATTTAAATTTAATGCATGGAAATATCAAGTGGAAAAAAAATTATTCAGAAAAATCAATGAAACAAAAAAACCAAAAAAAAAACCCCTCAAATTTTCAGTTTATCTTCAAATAATAAAGAAATTATAATTCTGGCTTAGAAGTCTGTGGTGGAAAGCAACCATAGTTGTCTTCCCTTGAACTACTTGACTATAAAAGAAATGGTTGAACCTCACTTATGGGCAGTAGTCAAATTGCATTGAATAAAACTTCACTACAAGCTTAAACATTCGTCTGTTTTTCATTACAAAGACATATAAGTCATATAAACAAATACAGTTCGTACTTTCATAAGAAAAGGGGTTTGTTTTTTATTTTCATGAGAAATTCTCTGCATTTTGATGGCAGCTGTTTTTCTGCTTTTTGCATTTGTTTTCTCCAAATTCAAAAAATATTAATGCTGTCAAAAATTTTAAATAAGACATATTTACAATAGGAAGCCAGGTAAACCAACCTATTTCTCTCAGACATGCAAACAAACACATACACACACACACACACACACATTTTTGTCATGTGTTGTCATGGTAATTTATGGAAGAAAAATTTTTCTTTTTAATTTGCAGAATCTCATAAATTCTTTGTTACTTTTTTCTTTCCTTTTTTTTCCCAACATAATGGCACTAACTACATCAGAAAATAATATAACAGCAGCAGTCAGTCAGTGAGAGGATCTAGTGCAGGTTCACAGGTCACATTTTCTGTCAGAACAGAACGCAACTTTGGAACACATTCACAAAAGTTAATAGATGGAAAAAAGATGCAATTAAAAATAGTGTCAGGTGAAACAAAAAATAAACATGCTGCCCTCCCACTCAGAAAACAAAAGAAAACATATATATATATATATATATATATATATATATATATATATATAGCCAGGGACGGTGTGTGTAGCTGGTGAATTGAGTAACTTGTCACCGGTGGTATGAAGCCAGTTCATCTGTTCCAGCCTCCTCAGAACACTTGGTCAACCTACAGCAGTAAGCAAGTGGTCAGTCTGGTGGTCAGCTAATTGTTGTTGGTAGTAATAGTGAAGGTCAGTCATGTACTGTTTTAATAATAAAGAGGATTTTTTGTTTTGTTTTTTCTTTGAAAGGGAGACCTCAGAAGTGTAAAGAGATTTCAAAGGGAGCTAAAAGATACACAACACAGACCCACACACACACACACATTCATACAGACACACACACAATTCCTTGCCCATGTGCACATATATACAATAGGTAAATGCTTGCATACCAGTATTTGTAGAGTAGATAATTCACAAACTAGTTACAGGTTTGAAAGTGCAACTCGTTTCAGCAGTTCACCAATAATGGATGGAGGAAGCCACATAATGTGGACATTGTCCAATCAGCATCTAATATCCAAGTCATTATCTACAGCAAGAGAAAACTTGTAATGAAGCAGACAGGTTCTGTATCAACAAATAGAAGTGAGAAGAATGACTAATAACAAAATTATAGAGCCTGACTTTGTTGCAGCAACACAGTAAAGGACCACAATAGCAGTTGTAGCAAGATGTTTTTGTGTTTTATATAGCAGCAGGAGTATAAAAAAAGGGGGTTGGGTAATCAATGTGAAGAGCCCTATAAGCTAATCACTACTGCAGCAGGTTAAGTGAGGTCTACAGGTATTAGAGACCCTTGGTGTCATTACATGGCAATGACTTACAAGGGGCAGATAATGAAAAATGAAGGAGGAGGAGGAAAGGAGAAAGCGTTAGCAACAATACTAACAGATGAGATTCTGAAAAATACACACCTGTCCATGTCATGTGAAGTCTGGGTTTAAAGATGAAGAAAGTTTCTTTCTTTGCTTTAAAGAGAGAAAAAAAAAAGAACAACAATAAAATTCCCTCCCCCAAGCAAATAGTTAAATGATTGAACATTGTCACAGTGGTGTAGCACCGCCGGTCAAGAAAATCTCTGGCCGGATGTGTAGCCAGGAAATAAAGGTTTGCCAGACATCCCAGAGTTTGATTAATTTGTGAAAAAGATTGGTGGAGGAAAATTATATATATATATATATATATATATATATATATATATATATATGAAATGACCAGAGGTCATTGATCGCTTTCAGTTGTATCATGCTGTTTGATTGCCAAGTGTTCTGATTTACCGCAGGTCTACAGAATCAGTGTATGGGGCTGGCAATGAGGCAGCACAAAACAGAAAGGGAAGGAAGAAAAATGAGTGAAAAAAAGCCAAGAATCAAAATCTGAGTTGAAGAATGAATGAAGGTGTGTGAGGCAATGAACTTTCAAAAGTGGGGTGGGGGTCTGCTGCTAGGGTCAGCAATGGGGGTTAGAATCCAGTGGACAGTGGGTCGGACAGTTAGATACAGCATATTAATGTGGTAAGAAAAACAGTGAAGAAGTCTGTATTGACAATGTAGATTTAATAAAATGTTCAAATTGTGAGTCAGGGGAAACTTAATTGTGATTATGGCCAAGACACTTTGGACATTGCAGGTAATAAAAGGCAATGCTGATGTTATGGCTGAGGTACTAATTTCAGTCAGTGAGTTGGTCAGCCAACTGCCATCCATTCTCACTCTGAACAGCCAAGGCAAACCGAGGCAGCAGGGCAAGAATTGCAGTGAAGCCAAATTTTAGCTTCAAGAATAATATTGATAAAGATGATCAAAATGATGTGGCTGTTGTTTTCTTCATTCTCATCTTTTTGTTTAAGTAAAATAGAGTGGAGGAATATTTGAGGATTTAATTAGGGATGATGATGATGATGATGATGATGAGGGAAGAAAGGAAAACCAGTACTTAATATTTAGCTGACAGTCAAGTTTTTTTAAAAAATAAATTGCTTTAACAGGAGAGAGAGAGAGAGAGAGAGAGAGAGAGAGAGAGAGAGAGAGAGAGAGAGAGAAATTTTAGAAAAAAATCCCAAGATCAGATGTTCAAAGAATTGTTTGATTGTGTCTGAAAATTCTACAAGTACATCTGTAGCTTAATATCATTTTACAGAACTTAGTAGATTAGATTTTGGTGCCATTACTAGGAGCAAGAGAGATTCATCTATTTTTTTTCTTAACTGTAAATCAATAATGAAAGTAGAACGAGTATAGCAGGCAAAAGTTACACTATTAAATATTATTTGTTGAAATGAGAGTGGCAAGTTACAGGATATGGATTTGGAGTTTAAATCAAAGTTTAACTTTTGACTTTAAAAATATCAACAAGTGTATTGAACGCTTTTTATGGTAAGGTTTGGGGATCCAATTTTTGCATGATGTATCTGAAGCTGTACCAATAAAATAATATTACATTTTGAATCTTTGTTAAAATAAAACTGTCTACAGAAATAGAATTGCACAACTGCTTATTGTTAAATTGGACAAATATAACTTGGCCACCCAAACATTGAAATAGCCTCCTTTGCCCACATTGATTGGTATATCTATGTTTGTAAAAGTGGTAATACTCTAACAGTCAATCTGTGTATTGAGCAATCTATGTAAATGAATATAGATTTTGTTCATATAACCTGACTGATGCCCTCCTCGAGACGATCCTAATCCAATGTTCAATGCTGAAAATTGTGTCAATGACCAGTGAATGTAAAAATTGCTATTGTTTAGTATTATGTCTGAAAGTGTCCAGGACAGGTTATGATTTCACTTATGACAATGTCTTGGTCATTTCATGAAATAATTTGTTAATATACTAAAGAGGAATTTTATTTTTGCCATTGAACTTAGACTGAACTAAAGAGTTTTGAAGCAGATGGAAAAATGATATCTTTAGTACCTGTAATTCAGCAACTGACAAATCTTAAACTGGCACTCAATGTTATGTTGAATTATGATCATAATCTAAAATTTATTTTCTTTTTAATAGTTTAACTCCTAGATAACATTACCAAGCTTTGCATAATTATATTTTAACTAAAATGCATATAAAGGTCAGCTAGTTCAAATGTCTGATGTAGAGCATGGATTAGCAAGTCTGATACTCACTGAGTGTCTTAATATTGTGGCCTTGTGCTTAAGCCAAAGCTGATCTACAGTTTGGCCAGTTTCTTTAAAATTGCTCTTTGCAGCTCTATTGCAAAATTCATCTTGAAAAGCAATTTTCTTCTCTAAGTACACTCAAAGAGTAAAATCCAGCCAAGTAAGAAGCAGAGATCAATGCTATTAGATCTTGGTTACCTGAGCAACAATAGAAGACTATCATTTATTAAAAAAGCTTACTGTTCAGTGAACTGTCCACAGGTCAGTGAGGCAGAAGAAAAGTGTCATAAAAGTGATACAAGGATTTCTACAAGAAGACTTTCACTTCTTGTGGCATTGATTTCCACCAGTGGACAATGCAAGTTGTTGACAGGATAAGATGGTGACAGTCTTCCAGAATGTTTACTTTTTGTGAAATAGCGTTGAAGAACAGAGAGAGTGAGAGTTTCAATAAAAATTAATCCTCACCCTACTTCTCAAACTGCTGTGGCAGTACATATACCTGTACCATATTGGCCCCATGCAGTCATCATATTGGCCCCCTGCAGTCATCATATTGGCCTGCATCAGAACTGTAGTATAACTTCTTTGAGTTTTGTCTATGAAGTGACGACCAAGAACATTTGATGAGAACTAGACATGTCTATAACATGCAGTCTACCTAATCTGTCAATCAGATAAAGCTTTCAGAACAAAAACCTGGTCTATAAAATATAACATTCCAGAATGAGCCTTGTTCTCTCTGAAGAACTCTCCAAATTTGGTTAACTACTATTGTATGGAAGCCCCAACTGAAGATAAAAATCATAAAACATATTTGCAAAGAATAACTAAAGAAAATAATACAAGAGAAAAAAATCAACTTCAAGTTGTAGAGGATGTTTTATAAAACAGTTGGAAGGCGAGAGAGTCTTAAAGAATGTGGACAGAGCATTTCAGGTACTTGTAAGGCAGAAATATTTTGAAGGACACTTAGAAGTGACTCCTGAAACACTGTACAAGCTGTCTGCATGTTGTTTCTTCTTCAGGAGGCCAACCCAGCAGCAGCAGCAGCTGCAACTACAAACACTATTATCTCTACAACTACTACTACAACTACTACTATTACTAAGACTACTACTACTACTACTACTACTACTGGCAGTGATAGAAGGACAGGGGTAAGAGAGTACATATATATTAAAAATACCACTGTTGCTGTACTTCACTCTTCTGCAGCCAGCACCACTGCCATTTGTTGGATCATTTAGTTAAATGTGAATCAAGAATTAAGTATTTCACAATCTATGAATGAAAAGATCATTGAAATAATAGGAGGCTAACAAATAATCTTGGTAAGTTGTCAGGAATAAAATCAGTTGTTTTTTTTTTTGCTAAACTTATAGAGGATTTACAGTCGTAAGATAAACAGGTAAAATGGTGGTCAAGAAAGGGCACAGGTATGTGAGTTGGATGAGAGGGACTGAGGAGAAATCACTAGAGTGGGAGAAGGAATGAATAGGGAGTAAGAGAAGAAAAATTGATTGCAGGGAGATGGAGTTTGAAACAAAGAAGAATGAAAATATGCTGGTGGTAGTGGTGGTGGTGGTGGGGGGGGAATATTATTTCACATTCATATGTTAAACAGTCCTTTGCTAATATTAGCAGTTTTGTCGGAAGAATGTTGTTTTTTTATTTGAAAATTACTTTGAATCCCCTCCCTACTAGAATTTTTTTTTAAATGGTGGTTTAGAATCTTTATTTATGGGTCTCCCTTCCTCCCTTCTCATTTGGAAAATATATAAAATAAACAGTGTTTATTAGCACAGCAGAAAATGTTCCAACAGCTTCTTTTTTCTTTTTTCTTTACCAGTTGTGTCCAAACTGTAAATGGTTTTCCACTGGATTCTAACCAAACATTAATGTGACTTAATCTTTTTGTAGGGCTGGGGCAGGGAGAGAGAATAACAGTGCCAACAACAAATTAAAAAACAAATATACATTACAACAAAGTACCTTTAGAACAGATACCATACTGGAAATATAAGGAGAAAGGTTTTCAGCACATCCAAGTTGAAATGTCCAGATCTAAAACATTGTTAATTTCTTTTTATGCTTTGTTCTTCAGACACACTGATACATAATGCATGTTCATTAAACTTAGTTACATTCATTTGGCAGCATTCAAAAAAAGTCATTCTAGCAGAGCTAAAAGATTTTTTTTTTTTCTCTCATTTTTCCTTTTAATATTTTATATTTCATTTTAACTTATACATTAATTGGAAAAAATAATGTTAGTTTTCCAATGAGTGTCAAAATATAAGGTCAGACCATTTGACGATTTGGAGACGAACGTTCATTTTAGCATCAATTGGATAAAATATCCAAATGGCATTTTAGGGTTTTTTTTAATCATTTTTTTATCATTACTTATCCAACTTCTGTTACCTTTTTACGCTTTGAATCAACAGCATTGTCCTGGGAGTCAGCTGCATTACTATCTTTTCGCTTAAACTGGCTCCCAAACTTCTGAAATTTCTTATGTCGATAAGTAAAGGTCTCATCGTCTTCATTATGAACCTCAGGTTTATCACATTCACTTGTTGCAATGTCTGACTGTTTTTTTGACGATGAGTTTGAGTTGGTATCTGCCAGCGAACTAGCAGAGCTAGCACCTGGCTGACCACCAGGTGTCACATTGGTGCTACTAGGCTCAGAAGTATTAGATTGATCACAGAAACTTTCTGAAGAGTCCATGTTGTTGGAGTAATTTTTATCACTGGTCAGTTCAGTGTCCTGATTGTCTTCCTTTTTTACAGATACACTGCTGCCCTCATCCAGTTCGGACATTACTATTTTCAGTCGATTCTCATCACAAGAGTCATCTGAAGGATACCAAGGGTCATCAGTAATGACCGGAGGCTGCTCACCATCCTTTGAGTCAACACATTTAGCTTCAGTTTTTATGCAAGTCCTTGACCACTGAGACTCACTAGTTCTATTGAGCTGACCAGCATAAGGATCATTCTCTTGTTTGATGTCATGAATTGAGAGCAATGGATAATCTTTACATGTATCATTACTATTATCATTCTGAGAGCCAGCAGTTGATGACTGCGATGACAATTCAGATTTAGGAGTATCAAAACTATAAGAGCTTGGCCGTAGGACCCGGTCAACAGAGATGCTTGAGCCAGAGTCAGATGGACATCGTTCTTTTGATATTGTTTCAGGAGTGGGCACAGAGGAGCATTGTCTTCCCTCTGTATCTGCAGAAAGGTTACGCTTCCACATTTGAGATGACATTTCAAATGCATACTCTGAGATGCCACCCCCATGTTTATTCCGCTCATGTGAACGGCAATGCTTTTTATAAGATCCGAAATCATTGAGCTGAAACTGCTTGCCACACTCAGGACATTCGAGAAATTTGGTTTCCTCCTGACTGGAGATTGGGTTCTCCAGTGGGTTTCTATTTTGGGAGGCAGCATCCTCTGGGTTGATCTTAAAGGAAGAGCTATTTGTTACAGTACAGAGATCGACATCAAACTTTTGATCCTCCACTTCGATCTTTTTGATGTCGACCCTACTGTCAGCAACACTGACAGGATTACTGATGCTTTTAGCTTGAAGAGCATCTTCATTTTTTATCATAGCATTTGCTTCTGGTGGCTTGCCCTTAAGCAACGAAATGGTTGCAGAGATGGACTGAACCACCGTATGGTGTGGGCGGGGTTCAAAGCCATGCTGGTTTCGGAAATGCTTCCTAAAACTGTATGGACTACCGTAAGTCTGTCCGCATAATTTACATATAAGATAGAGAACGTCGTCAGGAGCATGGTTGCCCAACAGGTTTTGAACAGGTTCATGTTTTGAGATATCGTGTTTTTTTGAGCAATTGTTATCGAGTTTTTCACTTGCAGGGTTAGCAGGTTTGGAACTTCTGTGGTTGTTTTGAGCAGGTTCCATGTTCTGTGAGGGATAGGCACTGACATTCTGGGTAGTTGCAGTTGGTGCAGTAACTGGAGACAGTTGATAGGCCTGTGGCTGCACAACAGGTTGTGACTGTGGTTGTTGTTGTTGTGGTTGTGGTTGCTGTTGTGGTTGTGGCTGCTGTTGTGACTGCAAATGTGGGCCATGCTTAGGCAGAGCCGGAAGTGTAGGCTGCCGGAATATGGGATAGTTCTGTTGTGATTGTCTATGGTGGCTGTCTGGTGTAATGTAGCCATGGGGAAAGTCCTTGCGGCTTGAGACATATTGTGATGTAGGATGCAGGGCAAGCTCAGCACCGCGTGCCTGTTGATGGGGCATCATCATCTGTGTGGCTGCCAGTCCCTGCTTCTGGTAAGCCTGATGCTGTTGTTGTGTTTGGTAGTGCTGCTGCTGTTGTGGTGGTGGCGGGGGTGGTGGCGGTGGTGGTGGATGTGCTGTTTGGTGCTGTGGTGCTGTCAACAAGTGCGGCTGTGCATGCTGTTGCTGATGGTGGTGTTGGAGATGGTTGCTCTGTGGTGCTCCTGCTGTTGACTGGGGAGTGATGCGTTCACCCTGGTGCATGTTAGGTCCAAGTGAGGAAGCACCAGCACCAGCACCAGGGTTGCTGCCACCAATGTTACTGCAATATTTCTGAACACTGTATTCGAGATGTTTTAACAAGATATTGGCAGGTACGGATTTGCCTGCACCTCCTGCAGCTGCGGTAGTGTGAAATGAACTCCCAGGAGAGACCATTTCACGACCACGACTGCCACCACTGCTCATCATCAAAAACTGTTCTTCAGGCTTCTTTTTAGAGAGGTCAAGAGGTGAGTCTTGATTAGAGGCTGACTGAGGTGCTGAAGAAGGAGCAACAACTCCTGGAACACTGCCAGATGCTATAGAGTGTCCATCACTGGCCTTTCGTTTCACAGATAGATCAAGCACATTTTCTCCTTCCACACGAGGTTTTCTGCCAACCATAGTAGCTGGCATGGCAACAGCAGTAGCAGCTGAGATGACTGCAGCATCAGGGGCGGACAGAGGTCGCATACTTGCATGCTGCAACTTTGAAGGTTCTGATGAATAGTTAGCCATATCAGAGACAGTGTGTCTTCGTTGTGGTACCAATCCACCTGCAGCAGCTGCAGCCACTGATCCTCGCAAAGAACTGTCACCAGGAGCAATGGGTTTTCCTAAGCTGTCCATATAAGGGGTCTGTAATTTCTGAGTTCCTGGAGCAGCACCATCTTTGTGATGAATAAGTGGCGATGATGATGGGGACATGAATGACGGAGTCAACATACCAGCAGATTGTGAAGAATTGGAGTGGGTTCTGGGAGAGTGATTCTTTGAGGCAGCCATTGTAGCTAAAACATCCCCCTCCTGGGGACTGGGCATGCTGGCAGTGGAAGCTCCCCGCACCTTCACTGACTGTGCTGATTGGGGGGATATTTGGTGATAGCGAGCATTAAGACTTGCATGGTCATCCCACTTTATCATGCCACCCCCAGGAGTCTGCATGTAGTGAGGCTGCTGGTGATGTGGTGCCAGAATACGTTCCATTGTTTTTGCATGTGAAGTACCAACAGACGAACTAACACCTCCTGCACTGTTTCCTGTAACAGAAGACATGCTGCCACTGGGAGAAGCTGAGATAGCAGACGTTTGGTAATGGGACATGCGATCAGCAGAATGATCCTTAGGGCCATACATCTGGTGTGGAACCATAGATTCAGAATATTTGGATATGATACCTGCTTGTGAACTGCGGACCATCATTTCTTGTTGCTGTTGCTGGCTCAAGCGAGCTACTCTCTGTTGCATGTCACCCTGTAGCCTTGACCCAGGTGCAATATTTGCTTGTAAGTGATGCATATCACTCATTACGTTTGATGGATCTTCTTTGTGTTGACGGTAACTTGGTGATATATTGTGCTGCTGGGGTTCTTTAGATGCTGTCGTGTGGTTAAGTCGATCCATGTAGCTAATAGTTCGTCCGTCCTCATACATCATGCGCTTTGAAAGGCCACCCAGTGGATTCTCATGACTACGACTCATCATGTGTGATGGACTGCTGGCTGGAGAGTGGATGCTACGAGTCTTGTTAGCATAGTCAGCATGCTGCTGATCAGTGACTTTCATTGCAGGGTGCTGGCCCATCTTGGAAGAATGGTAAGGCAGTTCGGCAGGTTCACCTGAGTTGCTAAAGAACTTGTTGATGGCCCTTGCCTGACAAGAGATTTTATTGATGAGTTCTTTTGCATCAAATGCACTTTCAAATCCATCACCAGCACTGTGCTGGTTAGGCTTGGAGCTGCCTGGGTGCATTTGAGCCATCATATTGGAATAGGTCTGGCTTAGAGCAGCTGCAGCCATCTCACTTCCCGTATAATACTGTTGTTGTTGCTGTTGATGATGATGATGATGCTGTTGTTGCTGCTGCTGCTGTTGTTGTTGATGAAGGTGGGGTTGAGGCTGGGGATGTTGTGGCTGCTGCTGCTGTGGATGCTGACGTATATCTCTAATGCCTTCCATCATGCCCTTGTTATTAGTTGCTTGGAATGAATGTATATACCGAGAATCACCTATCTCCTTCCTTATTGAGGATGGGTCCAGTCCATTTGAAGTGCGGTCTTGTTTGGCCATTTCTGAATAATAAGCCACTTGATTTATGTTTTGGTGGTACATTTGTTGGACAGCAGGTGGACGTTCTGACTGAATGCACACTTCCTCTGGATGGCCATTGCGAGCATGTTGCTGATGTTGGTCCCCAGGTGTAATGTCATTGCTATAATTAAACTGACCCTTACCAATGTTGGTTAGTTTCTCACTCATACCAACCTTCTGCTGTTGCCACGTGTTCTCTAAACATTTGTTAATAAATGCCTGCAACTGGACAACACTCTGGCCCCCACTGCCACTTGTTTTGGCCACAGCTTCTGGTGATGGTTGCATCTTGTCTTTCGGCATCACGGGTTTTGAGGATTGGTTACCATTGCGTGCCAACTCACCTGAACCTTTCCAGGACTTTGGGGAAGGAGTGATTGTTTCTGAGATTTCAGAAACAGGGCCTTGTTTTTGTCCAACAGGCATTGGCTGATGGTTTTGGTAGTAGCCACCTGGAACTCTCCAGGTGTTGTCAACAGTGTTAGATTCATAGTTCTTGTAGGCAGGAGCATTCATTGAAATTTTTTTATCAGGCTGCACACTACCAGTAACCTCTTTTGTCTGTTTTGTTTCAGAGGAATTTGGTTGAGCATGGTCAGGTGAAAATTTAGTTTCAGTGATACAGTTACGGATTAATGCACCAATAGCATCATGAAGATTTGCATTTTTGTTGAAGACTAATCTTTTGGCATCATCTGATAACTTGGGTTTACTCTGGTCAATTGAATCAGACTTGCCAAGTTTCATATCTGTTGCTTCCTTCTCAGAATTTGCTGAAGTTGGCGTTGGAGGGGCTGAGGGCTGTTTTTGTTGCTGCTGCTGCTCTGCTGGGGTGGCATCTTGGTTGAGGTTTGGCTCTCCCTCATCACCCCGGCTCTCGGATTTAGCCTTCTGTTTCTGTTCATCTGTGTCTGTTGATGGTTCCACACCAGCAGATTTACCATTCTTCATGGACAAAACCAGCTCCAAACAAGTCTTCATGCCTTTGCCATCGCATTGTAGCTGGGCTTTAAGCTCAGTGTGCGAGTTGTCTGTCACAATGCTGGTTCGATTTGCCGTGGTGCTGGTGGTGGTGTGACTGCCCAAGATATCTGCTTGGTCTGTTGAGGCACTTTGGCCCATCATCAAGATGCCATTCTTAGCCAATAAAACCTGTAGAAGACAAAAACAAACTAAAAATTTTATTATGTCCAAAAAAATTTAGATGTAAAAACAAAATGCAAATACTAGAAAAGAAAAATTGCTCTGAAATATGATGTCTTATGTAGGAAAGATGTTTTAACATGAAACTAGTTCAGTCATAAAATCCCAGATAGCAATGCTTTGACCTTCAACATCAAATTTGGTATAAAAGAAAACCAAGTTATAATTTCTGCTAAGAATTTTTCAGTTTTATTTGAATAATTCTCTCTAGGAGTTGTGTGAAAAGAAAAAATGAACTAAATAATTAGGTCGAAATTCTTCATTTCATCATTAAATAGAGAAATATGAATGAAGCAGATGTTTGAGAAAATCTAATCAAATAAAAATGCAAATAAAGTTAGGAGGAAAAACATACTTTTTCGAATTAAAAAAAAAAAAAAAGAGATGTGTGAAAGATCTTGAAATTCTAAGAAAATGGAAAAACTTAGAATAAACCAAAAAAATTTATAAATTGTACTCATATATTAATAGGAATCTTGGAAATATAATTGTTTGGGATCTATTTTACAAATATTAAATATAATGCAACAACTTTCTTTATATACCAATGTTCAATAAATAAAAGGCCTAAGAGCCAATCAAGTTAGAGGGACACTGTGTGGTGTTGTAAGAGAGCAAGAAAAGGCAAGTTCATGAGGAAATGTAGGAAAGATAACAGTTAACACTAGACTTGAAGAGTTCAAGCTTGTAGTGATAGAGAAAACATCCTGTCAGGAGTTTGTTCCACAAAGCAGCAGTTCTTGGGAAGTAGCTGTCAGAGTGGAACTTTCTCCTTACTAATGGAATACAAAGAGAATGGAGATGATTCACATGATTGTTTATTTAGCATTGCAGGTCTATGAAGATAGCGATAGAGCAGTGAGATGCTCGCAATATTTTGGCTGTGGGAAATAGGTTGTAGGGTGGAAAATACTTCATCCCCCCACAGAGTCGTATAGACACTTTTGAACTCTATCAAGACAGGCAAGTGAGGACTGGGTAGCTCCAGCCCAGATATGGTGGCAATACTTCATTTTTGGTCTGATCTTGCTTGTGTAAAGATAGAGTATATGAAGAGTAAGCGTTCTCAAAGCAAATTTGTGGCTTTCACAACACAAAGAAAGAAAATCACTTGTAACGCGCCAGGAAAATAACTCACGAACGCCGTAGCCAAAACTGCCTGAATTTTCTTTTTCACCGAGTCGACAACACCAACTGCTTTTATCGGCAGAACCTATTTTTTCCATTAGTCGACAGCCGGGATAGGATGCTCCGTAATTTGCATATTAATATACTCTTATAGCGACTCCTGCGACGGACTTGTTTCTTTTTCGTCACAGAATACACGCGACGCGCTGTGGCTTGGATTGACGAGGTAAGTCGCTATAAGAGTTTTGCTGACGACTTTTTGGCAATCCCTCCCCGGCAGATCGCACACAAAACACGAACTTTTTTCCGGGGTACTTGATTATCTCGTTCACTACAGTATAGAAGCGGGGAATTGGATACTTACTGACATGTTATTATGATCTGACCATTTTTTTCAGTATTTTTATCAATAGATTGTATATACAAGTTCCACTTAAGGCCTGGAGAGAGGTTGAGTCCCAATTTTGCTGGAGAATTATTAAACGAGTGGTGATGTACTTTCTTAAAGTTTCTTTGTATTATATTTAAATAAGAATATTTTGCCAATAGAAATGAATGTTTTGATCAAGAAATCTCATTGCAATGACATCTTACAGTGGTTTGAACTGAAGGTTGATCTAACAAGTCCTCTTGCAAAACAGTTTGCTCAGAAGCATGAACATTCATCACAGTGAGCAAAATTATTTTACTGGAGTATACTAATGCTTCACTCCCTTTCTTAGGCTAATGTTGTAACTAAGTTATTAAAAACAATAGTAGAAAACCGGAATTGGTTTTAGTTTATTACCTTTTGGTACAGGGAAACATAATGTAGAATAGAAACTAAGGAAAAGAATGTTTACCTGTGAATGACTAACTGTTTTCAGCAAAAGCTACTACTCCTCCTGCTACTCCTTTTGATGCAGGAGTATTTTTATGTCTTTTGTCCAACAGCCAAGTCCAAACTTGTAGGGAAATATTTTCCCTCAGAACAGTTAGAAAAACACCTTAAGAGTCATAACCAATTTCTGTCTGACAGTGTGAAATCTAAGTTTTGTCTTTTAAGTGAATTATCTGATCAATTGTCTATGGTCTGATTTCATTACAATGAAAAAATCATACTTTGAACCTCAAATACAACCAACATTCAGAAATCATAAGTGAGTTTGAAAGATCATTGGGAAGCACTGATGATCACCATTTAATCATCTACCTCAAGCAACAATCAGCTAGATCAATACCAAAGAGATATCAATACTTAACAATATGAAAATGATATACACAGTCCTTTTTGCTAATGTACTATATTATATTTGAAAAACCTATGATATTTCTCCAAAAGGCAATAATTGTATGAACCATACTCAAAGGTTCAACATTGACAGGTATGTGGAATAAAATATAAAGAAAACTGATTAAAAACAAAAATCTGAAGACACAATAACAGCTTCTTATGGAAGTTTGGTTTTAATACTATTTCGAAAGATTAAGTAAGATTCTTGCCAAAATGTCTATATCGATAGAGTCTTGTTCCTACAAACTTCTTTGATTGCTATGAACCTTATATCTTTAAGAGCATTTTTACAAATAAACATAACATTTCAAAATGTAATACCATTTTAAGTTTTAAATATCACAGAATACATTATAGCAAGTAATAAAAAAGTATATCAAAATTATTTTCCTTTAAAAAATAAAAGTGTAAAGTGTAAGAATCTGCAAGCATTCATTAAAATAGAAATAACAAATAATAAGTTACATTCCATTTTTTTTAATAATAGTCCACTTAAAATATTTTTATTATTCAAAGAGATTGGATACTAAGTATTATATTATTAAAAAAAGAAGCTTTTATTAGTAACTAGATAAAAGGGGGTTTGGGAAATAAAATGTTATCAAAACAATTTTAATATTCTTCATCAAGAAAATGCAATAAAATTTTAACATAAAAAATTAATACATAATTTGATGAGGAAATAACGTAAATGAGAAGTTCATTAGAATAAACACATTAAAAATAAAAATATTCATAGCCTTACTTTTTGTTGAAAAGGATAAGTGATATAAAAGCAATTCATAAATGATACATTATCTAAATTTTTAATTCAATTATAAAACACCAAAAAACTCATAAATGTGTTATATTATTTTACATTTGAAGTTAAAAAAACACAAAGAAAATGTAAGTAAAGTGAGAGCGTTGGATAACCAAATTTGCTGGCTGGGAATTAGAAAAATCTTAAAGGAGACAATAAGTCATAGGACTTAAAAGCAAAGAAGTCATTTGAAGTCTATTTAATTTTAGGAAATATTACCGAGATAAAAAAAAAATAGATTGATGTGTCTATAATGTATAAACAAAGACATTTACTCATAATTGCTTGAATGTTTGTATAAATTAATAAAAATAGGCATTTTCTTCCTCTAATAAATTGACTTGCATATGTTGCTCCGTGTATAAAACTGATGACTGTAATGATTAGATATTATACATAGTGAGACACTACAAATGAAGCCTCATGCATTTTCATTAGAAGATTTTTCAAGTTTACAGGTAAATATATACAACAGAAACATAAGTAGTTGAATATTAAAGCATTTTGGGAGCTATTTTACAAGTAGATACATATGTATGCCTAACCTTTTATCAAGGTAATTGGTGACTGAATGACAGAACAACCTGTTAAAATATTGAGACTAAAAAGGAAGGGCAACTGCAACGTAAAATATTGAATATTAAATGTGTAAAGACTGCTGAGAAGTTAAGATAAAATTATCTCTTGTTGCATGACAATTGAGATCATTTCATAGGAAATACAAGAGAGGCAAAGATGACGCATAAAAGGGGGGGGGAGAAAACATGGAGAAGACAAAGCAAATAAAGTGAAAAATGGGGAATGATAGAAGAATATGACAGGTGACACAAATAATTAGGCAATAGTTAGAATTCAAAAAAAAAAAAAAGAAAAAAGAAAAAAAAGAGAAACACACACACAACACATTCTTATAATATGTTAATGATATCATGTGCTAGCTTAATGAATAAAAGTAATTACTGTCCTTGATACTAAGGGTTTAATATGAAACAAGTTAATTATAGAGAGAAATACTTAGCATTGATGTTTTTCTATACAAATCTCACCAATGTCAACAAATAGAACATGCAGACATGTATATTTAAATAGGACAACATTTCTAAAATTAGCAAATGAAGATAAAGTATCAAATTTTTTATCAATCCAGTTTGGAATTATTGTAACTACCTGCATCACATTTTATACCAATTTCTGTTGTCAACTCTTGACAATTATAATTCCAGTCATTTTAAGACTTAAATTGTCCAGGCAAAATTGCATTGATTTTCATTAACTTTAAATGAATACCTAAATACATATTTATTCATACATGTTAATGCAAATTGAAAGTGTCACTTTGCAAAACCAGTCTATGTAATAGATAAAAAATTAGTTGCATTGTTGGTTGTGACTCTAGGATGACAAAATAAAAGAAAGAAACAAAATAAATGAACATAGATCAATGAAGAAAACCATAAATTTATTATTATAATTAACAGAGAAAGGGAAGGAATAACAAAGAGTAGGAGAGAGGGAGGGAGAGAGAAAAAGAGGGAACTCACACAGAAATGAAAACAAAGATGATGTAAAGTTAATAGAGATGCAGAAAGAACAAAGAGAGAAGATAAGGAAAGGTTTTGTTAGAATTCAGATCAATAGTTAGCAAGATTAACAAAGTCAAATGACAGCACAGCATTGAACTGGGAATGGTTTTGTTGTTGCTTTATATTGGAAAAGATTAAGATGATGTGACATAAAAGACAGACTGAAAGCAAGATAAAAATTCTCCTTACTGATAGTCTTCCACCTGTAATGGGTATGATTATATATATATATATATATATATATATATATATATATATTTATTTGTGTATGTGTGTGAGTATGTTATAATAATAATGATGATAATCAATATGAATATAAAGAGAAATAAGCAAATGTCTACCTTTGTAATCAAATGGATATGCAGGTAGCATAACGTTTATTGATGCGGAAAGGGGAAGTGACGAGCCAAGTTCAAATTCTGGCTTAGTTTGTTGTATTCATTTTCATACTATTGCTCTTGGGAAAAGCATGGATCCCTTTCTTCTCTCCACTGGTATGGGTTGGGTTAAATCACAGGGTAGACTGGGCTCTCTAGCCTTGAGTCGCAGCCAGTCTAGGACAACTCTGAATTCAAAACCATGGAAAAGGCAATGGGAAACCATTCTACTATCTTTCCTAGGAAGTCACGACAATTCACAAATAATAAAGAAAAGGAATTGGTAGAGAAACATGATTAAGTCTTGAAGAGATATGGCACTGGAAACAAAATAGGAAAAAAAAAAAAAATCAAAGATAGATTCTTTAAAATCTATAACATTTGGGAGAACAGCTGTTAGAAGCTAAGATTTAAGACTGGGCTTCGACTAATTAGGTGGCAACACCAAATACCCACCAGTGAGAAAAAAATTAATCATGACAAAATCCTTCTCATTACCAAGTTTTTATTTGTAAAGTCCTTGTTACTATAAGTAAGAATCTGAAACCAATAATTAATTAACTATAAACAATGGAAAAAGTTTCTGATCAGCAATAGAATCAATTCAAAGCTCATAAAAGATAATATGTATTAGAATTGAATGGGAAAAAATATCTTATACTGAAACAGTTTCATGCACAACTTAAATAATACTAACTCCTAAGGTGAGGAATTATTATTATTATAATATACTATTTGAAATATTGCCCTCATCTTGGTTGTTATAGTCACAATGCTTTAACCATCGCATCCTCCTGTCTTTGTTTGGTGCTTATTGATTTGATAATATTTTTAGAGATGTAACCTAAATCTTTATTCAATATACTGTGACAAACTGTTCTCATTCTAAGAATTAACAGATACAAGTTATCTCTTCTAGCATGGACAATGGAATGAGAACATTCTACCTCTGTAGATTAAATAAAAGGTTCAAGTCAAAATTTCAAGAACATAATCAAATATGGCAGGCAACTGAAAAAGCTGAAAGGAATAGTGATCAAAACATTGTTACCATAACAACCAAAGAGGAGGATAACAGTTTCAATAAGATGCACATATTAATTAAACAAAAGTAATATCGGTTAGTCATGGTGGAGTAATGGATAGCGGCTCAGATTGAGGAATCAGAGAGCTGAGTTCGAAATCCACTCGAATCCATTACATTCACTTATGTTCTAATACACTTGGGAAAGGCATGAATCCTCTTCTTCCCCCACCAGCTATGGGTAAATAGTAGGACAGACCAGGTTCTATAGCCTTGGCTGGCAGCTGGTCTACACTACAAATAAATGGCAACCTACTGCAGGAAAAAAAAAAATCTGCCTCATCAGTCATGTATCGAAAGATATATGATCGCTTAAGCGTATATCAGGCATGGCACATAACTGACTGAATATTGTCTAACTAGGATAGATTAATCATTGCTATTTTTTGTATCAAGTGTAGTTATTTCATGTTCTCATCTAGTTATCTTCATCACAGTTTTAAGAAACACGATTTGTTTTATGAGGCATTTCACAGGCATCAAGTCAGTGTTCAAAATTGTCTTTTGCTACCATTTTGTTTATAATAATGCTACTGCTGATGATAATGATCTGCACTTGATGTTTTTATGTAAAGTGCATCAAATATTTCACTTTAATGTTAACCAGGAAAAAAAAAAGAAAGAATATTTTAGAGCACAAGATGTTGTACTATCAAACTCCTTATTCTCTCCATCGTTAGAAATCTTTATTGACTTACTTAAAGTTTGAAATAATACAAAGTTTACAGACGTAAAATTATCCAATTAGCAGTGCTATCAGTTAGGCATGTTTTTTTTTAATAAGAAAGGCTTTTTATATTTGTTTTGGATGATTATGTAAAATGGAAGACTGAAATTTCAGTGAAGGAGTCAAAGAATGAACAGTAGAGAAAGAGGAAAAGCCTCTTTATGATTAAAGGTGGGGTATGGAAATTTAGGTTATATACCCCTATAAGGAAAGTAATGACAACCAAACTATTCTGATTGTCAGTATGTATAATGTGGGCATAAAATTCAGAATTATGATTATAAGAATCAAAAAATGGAAATATTTCAATCAATTATACCTTCTGGCACATCTCTTCATGGTTCCTTCAACAGAATCTGTGGAGAAGATCCTCAGCGGGTTGGAAAATCTAGTTGAAAATAGTTCACTGTAAATATGAGTGAGCAAAAATTTGGACTTGATCACAAAAGAGTTGAGTGCTGCAAAAGAAAATGAAATAATGATTATAAACTCATGTATCTGACAATCCTATTTAAGCTAAGAATGAAGAAATGAAGAGAAGACCAGATGTGAATAGAGAATTCATGATATAACAATCACTTCTAGATAAAGAAATGAAGCCTTTATTTAATATTCAGTAAAGAAAATCAGGAAGTAGCAAAATTAGACTCTAAATGGCACTGAAGGATAACATTATTAATTGTAAAGAGAGTGTGTGTGTGTGTGAGTGAGGCACACATTTATAAAGGTGATTAAAATGATTTAAATTCTTAGCCAATCTTGTCTATTTTACTTAGGAAGGAAATTATTTCATTGCTAAACATTGTACTTAGTTGCTATCTGGAATTGACATAATGGCTTTATGACTGACAAATTCCATCTGGTAACCAATAACCCCTGGTTGGGTTTTTCCGTAAATGATTTCAATTCCTGAATCAAAGGCAATAAAACTAAACAAATTGGATACAGTCTAAAAAGCTACATATTATGAAGCAAGGAATAGCAATTTCTCAAGAATAAACAATAGTAAACTTACTTCAATACATCTAAAATGAGAGACAACATAAAGGAGAAAGGAAATTATTTACCAAATCTGGTTGATACATCAGAAAAAGAAATAAGACTTATGGTTGTTACTATAAACAGCTTAAAGGAAATGAATGAACAAAGATTTAAATTTAACTTCTTATATGTCTAAGCTCATTAAATAATAATGGCTGATTTTAACATGTAGTAAAAAAATTTTTTTTTTTCAAAGTGCACATTAGTATTTTAAATAATGAGTTACATTATTTATCATTTAATACACTATCTCTTATTACAAGTGCAAATTCTAACTTGAGAATTTTGCCTGATACAAGCATTAAAACAATGCCACTCAGAATTAATAATGTCTAACTATGTATTTTTCTTTGTTTTAAAATTAAAATAAAAAATAAAGTTAGCATTTGAAGTATTTCCAGAAACATTCAATTACAGAAAAAAAAATCTGTAAAAATATTATGTCAACATTTTATGTGAATTTATTAATTGTAATTATTTGGGGTTTAAATATATATTTATAAGCAATTTGAAACTAAAATGGCTGAATACAGTAAAATAAGCTTTCCTCATAGAAACAAATTTTGAGTAAGTGGTAAATATATAGCATTAAAAATGTTTTAAAAATCAATGTACTTTTCCTAAAGTTTAGGAAAACTGAATAAAGAACTGGTATGAAGGAGTTAAAATGTGATATTTGTGTTGAAAGCATATAGTAAGTTTGCAAATAAAAGATAAATATCTCTTGTTGTAATTTGTTTTTTAATCATTTCAGCCAAAGTAAGGTGTTGAAACCACTAAGACACAAGGGTTTAGTAAGTGACAGTGAAAGAAATTGAGAAAATATTGAAGTGAGGAAGGACAATAAAAAAATGGGATTCAAGGAGACAAATGATGACGATTGACATTGCATTTAATTTTTTAAAGATAGTAGTTGACAATAAAGCAAGAAGCTGGAAGAGAGTTGAAGAAGTGAGAAATATGAGAGAAAAATCTATTAGCATTGAACTTGTAGCAACATCTAGCAATTTCAACAGTAAAATGGTGAAACCTGATTTGTCAATCACTAGATTGGCAACTAGGTTTCATAGCTTCAATTCATAAAGTCTAAGTACCAAAGATGAAAGCTCATCAGAACAATTGCCCTGAAAATATTTATAGAAAAGGCACAGAGAAGCTATGTTATGGTGATGTGAAAGTGAAAGCAAGATGCCAGATCAGGACCAATGATACTGGAGATTCTTCTTTGGATTCTGTCCAGAATCTCTAAATACATATCAGAAGCACCAGACCAGATTTGGTAATAATATTCAATGCATGAGTGAATAGCAAACTTATAAAATTTCAAGTGATTCTGATAAGAAAAATTATCTAGGATGAAACAGTGAGCCAACATTCCTAAAGGCATACCTAGCAATTGATTCAATATAATCATTCCACTTCATGTCATTGAAAAACATTAGACTGAGAAGATGCAATGTATTATTCACTTGGAGGTAAAAAAAAAGGTTCTTTAAAATAGTTAAAAGGATAGCTGTTTTGTTTTGGAGGCATTAAAATTACCAAGCTATTTCTAGCCTCAGTTAACAACAAATTGAAAGTCATTTTTGAGATCAGCAGCAGGTTTGACTTCATTGAACCTATCAAACTTACCATTAAGACAGGAGTAAATACTTGTGTCATCAGTATAGATACTGAGTTGAGAACTGTCAACAATGTAGATACTGAGCCAAGAACGGGAAGGTTGTTAATGAAAATTAGGAACAAAGTAGGTCCTGGGGGACACCTGCATCAATATAAAAGGATCTGGAAGAGTGGCCATTCAAGATAACTTTCATTTCATGATTAGATAAGAAAGATTGAATCAAATCAAAAATCTGGCCAGAAACCCTTTAACTTGTGAAGAAAACTAGCATGCCAACGCCTGTTAAACACATTGGGTATATCTAAGGCAACAAATGAAATAAAACTTGCAACTTGTACCACCTGACATAAAGTCAAATATTAGTTTTCATTTTTGTATTGTTTAGTGAATAATATTATAAAATATTTTATCAGTTTAAAAAAAAAAACAAAAAAACTCTTTACTATCCTGACTCAATGTTGAGAATTTTAAACAAGAGTTGTTTCACTATTGCATCTTGTAAAGTAAAAATACATTATCACGAGGAAAATATTTTTTTAAAACTATTTTTTCCATCCAATTCAGTTATGCATTTAGTGTGTGCAAAAATTTTCAAAATTTCCTATAAAGAAAGAAAAATATAACAAAAGAACAGTTTTCT